AATGCGGGTCACCGTGAGAATAGTTTCCGTGACCTTGAGGAACTCCTCTGCTGCTAAAGGTCCCTCGGCACCAGAAAAGGAAGGAGGCCGCATATATCGAAACTCTCTAACTCCAGACTCTGTGTGAGGGGGAGGCTGGTGCTAAGGCTCCCTATGTAGATGTCCAGCCAGGTGCTGCTGATTGGTGATCAATCCCTGAATCATCGCCAGAAGTTGGTTTGGATCCACTTCGGGTTACGGGGCACGGCTACTAGACGGGTTACTAAAACCTCAAGTAACCACCATGGTTCTAAAGGAAAACGAGGATCAAAGAATTAGGGTTAAAATCAAAACAATATATTAGAAAATAGGAGTTAAAACATAGTTATCAAGATAATAGTATAATAACTTAATTGTAGTCTTACAGATGAAACATTATATGTATCTAAATTGTCTACTATATTCTTACTAGTGAGGACTCGGAACTGTGACCTGCATGGGCCACCACTAAAACCTATCACGTCCCGCTTCCCAAAATACTCGGGAATCGGAACGTGAATAAATCCGCAACGTATTAGATTGAGAAGAAATATACACTATTATTTTTTTTTCTTTTTCTTTTATTCTCAATCTAATACGTTAAGCATCAAATACGTAAATCTCAATCACAGGTACCCGATCAAAATAGCAAGAATATAAAGACAATCCAGAATAAGAAATATACATATCATCCATAGTAAATCATCCCAGACATAAAAATATAGGTCAAACATACCCTTATTACAAAAACGGTCCAACTAGGAATAAAAACACATAGTCTACGATAAAAGAAAAATACTGATATAGTAACTGAATCCATCATCAAACTAAGGACAATACTATAAAGAGTTCTAATGTTTATCAGCTACTACAGAAAAGAAAAACACGTCTAGGCTTTAGTTTGTTCTTCCACTCCATCAAAAGGACATTCCGGCTGGGCATACACTGGCTCGGCTGCATCATCGAACTGAACCTATTCGTCTCCTAAGTCTGACGCACACCAGAGAAAACAGGTGTACGTCAGTGTGCATGGTACACAGCAAGATCTCACATGAACAAATAAAACGGTCTAACGACCCATGCTATAGCAATAATAATACTAACAAGAAAGACAATGATACATGCAACTAAAAATCTAATTGTAACATACAGCTATGTGAATACAATAACTGGGTCAAATACTAACCAACCTAAAGCTTAGTGGTCCACATCTCACACAGAGTCAACGCTCCTGTCATCGGATATCTGGCTGTTCATAAATCCCTTACGTGCATCCAATCTCGCTACACATGTGGCCAAGGGACTACACGTAAACCGTTTTCTGCCTGGTCCAAACTCAAGCAAAACTCGGGTGGCGAAACGATTCCACTGACTAAAGTGATGTACACACTTCACTTTAGCCCTACAAACCAACCCAGTGGCAACACCAACCACTGGCGCGAGCCTGGAAGATACATCAACAGTCTTATCCGATCACCTAAACACTGACTTCCCTATCCCAACTCTTCTCGTTTTTCTAAGTTAACCATAAACTCATTAAAAACTCGGGTTCACCGCCTAACCAGTCAACACACTCACACATGTCACTAAGTCTGTTCATGACGTACAAGGCTACTGAATCATGAACTACTAAGGTTCTCAACACGTCAACAGATCATAAAGATAGTATGACATGTTAAACATGATTAAGTAGGTTTATGAAACAGAAATGAGAACTTTAATGAACATGAAATGCATAAACAAAATACTATAGCATGAATGTAATACATGAGGGAGCTTCATTATTATCTTACCAATGAGATGTCCAAACTTCTTATACAAATTATCTGTACTTACATATTCTCTAATATAATAATACAGTAAAAAGAAAACTAGAAACCGATGTTGTTTTACACATGAAATGTCACGCTCTACGATGATCAGTCATACTATCATAATAATAATATTATTTTTCCAAAATTATTCTTTAAAATTATTTCTCATTATAACTAATTTAAAATAAAATATTTATGTAATATATATATTTTTTAATTCTTTTCTACATGAATAGTATCATTTCCTCTCTCTCTCTCTCAAAGGAAAGCTACATCCCCTAAAAGTCAAAATCCCCAATTCCACACCGTTGCTTCTCCCCCAAAATCACCCGACGACGAAGCCCTAATCTCCCTCCCAACGTCGGAGAAAGGCGTCGGACCCCCAAGTCGGACCCCCAAAATCCTTCTCGAGCTCGACGTCGGACCCCCAAATCGGACCAACACCGCCTCGCCTCCCTCCCAACGTCGGACCACCAACGCACGGAATTTTGCCTCAACTTTTTTACAGCAAGTTTCCAAATTATGTGCAGCATTCTGGGGAAGATGGGATCTTTGGATTTCTTGATGGAATGAGGTATGGATAGTTATCTCTCTTTTTTTACATGACCAGTTCGAATCTGTATGATTCTTTTTATTGGATTTGCCATAGAAAATTGACATTCAAGATGATTTTCTTTTGAACCCGTTATGGGTTTTTGATGGATTATTGATTGAATTCCTGCAAAAAGTTATAATTTTTATCGAGTTGTAACAAGGTATAACCTGGCTATGCAAATTTGTTGGTTTTTAGAGCTTTTACTGTTCTTTTATGAAACTTTTCCCCTTGGCTTGACACAAAGTTTGTATAGTTCTTCAGCCTATGATGCTATCTCCAGTCCTTCACATTTTCATTGGATTCCTGTTGCTTATCTATTTGAATAAATTTTTGACTGATTTCTGAGAAACCCATTATATATATATATCTTGAGTTTTCTTTTTCTTTAGTTAAAATGCCCATGAAATTGTTTTCGTTTCTGATGAGATGAGCTTGCATATTTCTGTTGAATTGAAGCCCAAAAGTCCTTCCTGATTCAGTGAGAGCACAAATCTCTTTCGTTCTTGTTTGGTTTTTTTTCTATTTCTGCTCTCTGTTGAAGAAAGATTTGATTTTGCTTCATTGTTAGTATCTTAATAATCCCATGTTTCTTTCCGATGCAGAAAACCAAACCAAAAACTGAACCTCCATCATCATTACAATGAGGGACTTTGCTTGTTTCGGTGAAAGTGGAGTTCAAATCGCTGATGCCTCCTCATCTTCTTCTTCTTCCTCTTCATCTAAAAATGCTCAGAATCAAGTGACTTGCATCTATCAGAGCCAACTCGGGTCTCGTTCTTGCATAATCACCATAACATGGACCAAGAACTTGGTGGGGCAAGGCCTCAGCATCTCAATAAACGATTCCACAAACCAGTCCCTCGGCAAATTGGAACAATTAACAAAATTTTGATTTTTCACATGCCTTTACTCATGAACCTGGTTACACGAAGAGACAAATTGGAAACATATAATGACTAAGAGAGTCGGCATGTATTGTAATGTAGATAATCTTAGTTCCTGTATCTGATCAGTACTAGCAAGTTGGAATAAATTGAACACCAAGAGACGCAGAAGGATGAGAACAAGAAACCAATCCATAAATAATGACTATGAGAAACTTGCATGTTTACAACTCAGCACAAATGAAAATTCATATCAGTTAACAAAACCAGCAACACCATAAACTTGCATGTTTACAACTCAAGTCCCAGCAGAAACTTGCATGTTTACAACTCAAGTCCCAGCAGAAAATTCAGCAACACCATAAACTTGCATGTTTACAACTCAAGTCCCAGCAGAAAAATCAGTACACATTACAATACATTGCAATCAAACATAAACAACTAGGTAGTTAAATGTTGACAATAATCAGACCACTCCTCATTCAAGCTCCTGATTCAAGCTCCTGATTCAAACAACAGAAATCAGTTTGAGAAACATATAAGCTTTTGAAGTAAGTTAGGTAATTATTTAAAAAATTAGTATTATTGAAGTAAGTTAGGGGATCACTTTGGCTTGTACCACTTAGCATTTGTAAGAATACAAGATTGACACAACTAAAGAAGCTAACTACACTTTAGAGCATTTGTAAGAATACAGTGGGTCATTTGGTGGTTGGGGGATCACTTTGGCTTGTACCACTTAGCCCACTGACTGAAGAAAAGGGTGAAGAGCAGGACAAGAGCCATGGCAATGGAGTTTTAATGCATGGGAGAAGAGAGCTGTGCTGTTCTTTTGGAGGGTAGCATTTTGAAACTGTGGTGGCTACAATGAGCTGTTGATTCTTGAATTGTCAGTTACTTGTAAAGAATGTGAAAGTAACAAAAGCTTGTGACACAAAAATTGATTTACCGAGTTCTTGTCCTTGTTGACTGTTCCATGCATCTTCATGAGTTAATGTGATTGGGGTCCATCGACAGAAGCTAACATCTATGATTGGGGGGGGAGAATTGGTATACTTTTTGTCATTACCTCTGAGAGATCACCAAATAGCTCCAAAGTGCCAGTGTTTTTATATGTGCTGAGCCCTGGTGGAAACTGCAGAATGCATGTTAGCCAAAAGTTGTGGAATATGTTATCTTTTTGTATACTTTTTGTCAACTGCTATCATCATTTTTTTAATGCTTTTGCCTGCATGACTTTGGAAGCAGGATATGTTGATAACTAAGTTTGTTCCCAATGTTGCTATGAGCCACTGTTGTTAGATGGGTAATTGCTGTTGACGGGCTCTTGTGAACGTAAGCATGAACAATCTTTATCACAAAAATTAGTACTGACCAAAAATGAAGTAATAGGTAGACTTTCTTTTAATTTTTTAACTAGCAAGAGAAACATGGAATATTCAATCTTTATTTAATTCTTCATACTAAAAAGCTAAGTCCTATTTTGGATAATGTTTCCTCACTTCAGAACTTTTAGACCTATGGAGATATCTTAGTTATTCATGCATTCAAACTCTTCACCACTTGGAAATATAGATACTCCTACTTTGTATGAAAGAAAGGAAAGATATGTGCCCTAGCTTAGCCCAACTTTAAAAAAATTAAAAAGGGCAGCAATATTCAAAGATGAGAAGTACCTACATTACCCTCTTAATCTTCAAAAAGATCCACATCTTCACTTGATGACTCATTACCCTCTTGCAAATTTGTATCACCGCTTGTAGAAAACCTACATTATATTAAAATATCCATACATATATACATCAAGAAGGATACTAGAATGTGAAAAATAAGACAACATAAATAATAAAAAAACTATTACTTACAGATTTGTGAGTGCCGGACAATTTCGCTTATCATGTGATTGGCCTACTTTACCACATCCGTGGCAACGTCTATCTTTTTTATTTTTTGCTCTAGTCCACCTCTTTAAGATGTATTTATCGGGCAATATTTCAGCATCAATTTTCATCAAATATGATATAATGTGCGTACATGGAATTCCAGCGCTTTCGGACTTTTTACAACTACAAGAAACCAAATCCAAGTCCTTGTCGTAAACAATTTCGCGGACTTTACTTTTTGCAAGCTTCTTTCTTTGAATTTGATACACACTCTGATTGTCGGTTTCCCTAACAAACTGTAACTTATAGTTAAAGCTGTCACACACTTCAGCCTCAAACTTGTAATAGATCTCATTCGTGTAAATATCAACCATTTGCTCCAAAAAATCATGATTTATTCTAAGTTTAGGTTTCTCAATTACATCTTTGTGATCGGCCATCAACTCCTCATGTCGTTGGCGCACTAATCCCCTGCCAAACTGTATCATAAAATCAACCAATGAATTATTCTTCGAAACAAATTTCTTGAAGAATGCATGTCCACTTTCTGCTCGTTGACTACTTGACATGTCTGCTGAGAAAATGTGATTAACATATGCAGGAATCCATCTTGACCGAAGTTCAAATTGGTCTTGCAACCACTTGTTTCCTTCTAACCCACTTTTCTTAATCAGACTTTCCCATTGTGAATCAAATTCTTCAGGAGTCTCTGATTTCCAAATACAAGCCGAGAACTCACTTTTATAAATATTATACTTCACTGCATCAATTTTCTCAGAAAACTTCATTAATATATGCCAACTACAATACCTGTCAAAAGAATTAAATAAAGTGTTAAAAAGAAAGGCTATGTATATAAACATTTTCAATAATATATACAAACTATAATACCTGTGAAAAGTATTTGGAAGAACAAGAGGGAATGCCTTAGTCATAGCTGGATCTTGATCGGTAATAATCATCTTCGAGGCACCACCAGGCATACTTTCCAAAAAAAATTTAAATAACCATACAAAATCATCAACGCTCTCATGATTCAAAAATCCACAAGCAAAAACAATTGTTTGACCATGATTGTTAACCCCCATTATTGGTGTAAATATAAGGCCACAGCGATTAGTGTTATAAGTAGTATCAAAGATTACAACATCACCGAAAAAATTGTAAGCCCGCCTTGATCTTGCATCGGACCAAAAACAACGAGTAATCTTTTGTTCCTCATCGGCCTCAATTTGAAAAGTAAATGAGGGATTCTTTCCTTGTTCCAATTTTAAATACTCATAAAACATTTCTCCATCGTGCCCCTTCATATCAGCACGTATATCCCGATCATGATTATACAAATCTCTTTGCGTGCACCCAATATTTTCTATACCTCCAGATTGTACTCCAAGAAAATTAAATTGTTGATGCTGAGGTATATTCGCCATAGAGAGCTGTTTAGTTAAAGACTTTGTTGCAGCTGAAACGTTACGATGGGACCTCAAAAGATGAACCTTTGATGGTGTTGATAGCGGGTGACTGTGCTCCTCATTAAAAACAGTAACAATGTATTTTTCGGAACTTGATTTTAAAACTGCAATTTTGGCAGTACAATCCTCAGCTAAGCTTCCTCGACGTCTTTTCTTTCCAACATCCGCGATTTGTAGAGATTTTCCTTGTTTAAAACAAACATACTCCTTCCTTCTTATTTCACAACTTCCCGGCTCTTTCCGAGTAGACCAAGACCTTACACTAAACCCAGCTGCTTTAGCATAAGCATTATAGAATGTCACAACATCATCTATTGTGTCAAATTCTTGCCCCTTTTTTGGCCTCAACTCATCTGATACTTGAGGAGTATATATCAAATCATCGTCGTCCAAGTTTACTTCATTAGCTTCAGTGCTCAAGTTTTCCATTTATCACAAAAAATTGTAATTGACCTATAAAAAAATGGAGGCAATCTGAAATAGAAAATAATATGGGGGAAAAAGACCAAAGGGGATTCAAATTATTACTTGCTGATAAAGAAAGATATAGAACTAACTGCACCCAATTTCTTTTAGGAACAAAGAAAGATATCTGTAATTACTACTTGCTGATAAAGGGGATTCAAATTATTTTTAATTTCACGAAAGATATCTGCAATAACGTTTATTCAGTAGAATTCAAAATAATTTGCATGACCACATATTAACCACATATTACCACAATTCAACAATAACGTTTATTCAAGAGCATGTTACTTCTAATTCTACCACTGGAAAGGTTGAAAAGGAAAAGGCAGACACAATCATTTGGAACCAAAACTAAAGAATTTCACGAACAGATATAGAACTAACTGTTCATATAAAAAAACCAAAGGCATATGTGGTTATATACACTGCAAAACGTTTCAGTAATCACGAACAGAACAGATAATATTAATTGATAAAAATAGAAAAAGATGACTTCTGAAGTACAATTAATAAGTTGGGGGCGTCGTGGTTACCTGAGTTGGGGAGGTCGAGATCGAGCTCCGATTTGGGGGTCCGACGTTGGTGGTCCGACGTTGGGAGGGAGGCGAGGCGGTGTTGGTCCGATTTGGGGGTCCGACGTCGAGCTCGAGAAGGATTTTGGGGGTCCGATTTGGTGGTCCGACGTTGGGAGGGAGGCAGATACACTGAACAAATACAAACTCAGAATTGCATCTCCAATATTTTCAAACAGAATAGACAGGCAACATAAACATCCAAGAAATATATGCGCAAAGATAGCGCTTGACCAGATGTTTCGCAAAACCAAGAACTTTCCAGAATCCATCAACGCATGATATTGATAACAACCAACGAAAGAAGTACTCATTCCTCTTACATATCTGAATCCATCAACACATGATATTGATAACAACCAACGAAAGAAGTACTCATTCCTCTTACATATCTTGAATGGCAATTTTCTATGGCAAATCCAATAAAAAGAATCATACAGATTCGAACTGGTCATGTAAAAAAAGAGAGATAACTATCCATACCTCATTCCATCAAGAAATCCAAAGATCCCATCTTCCCCAGAATGAATGCTGCACATCATTTGGAAACTTGCTGTAAAAAAGTTGAGGCAAAATTCCGTGCGTTGGTGGTCCGACGTTGGGAGGGAGGCGAGGCGGTGTTGGTCCGATTTGGGGGTCCGACGTCGAGCTCGAGAAGGATTTTGGGGGTCCGACTTGGGGGTCCGACGCCTTTCTCCGACGTTGGAAGGGAGATTAGGGCTTCGTCGTCGGGTGATTTTGGGGGAGAAGCAACGGTGTGGAATTGGGGATTTTGACTTTTAGGGGATGTAGCTTTCCTTTGAGAGAGAGAGAGAGCATTTAATTGACAGATCAAGTAGCGGAGTTATTATGAGAGAGAGAGTAGCGGAAGCATTTTGCGAAAAAACCCAAAAACCACTCATTTCCCCTCAATCCGTACGAACTGATCCGTAGGAGAAAGGCACTGTATATATATATATATATATATATATATATATATATATTTTATTTTATATATATATATATATATATATATATATATATATATATATTAATTCCTTTTTGCATGAAAAGTAATATTTTCCTATTTTATAAATTTTCCTTAATTAATTTCTTTTCGATGAAATTACGTAATTTCTAATTTAACACCTCACTTGTCATTTCAAAATAAGATTCTAAAATAATTCTTTTTCCTCGAAATAGATTTTTTTAAAAAAATATTCTTTAAAATAATTCTGTTACCATATAAATTCTTTTAATTTATGACAAATATTTTGAAAATGCTACTCATCACACATCTATAATTCAAATCAACAACATTCACCAACGGCCCGCGTAGTTAATTATAATATAATTAATCTACACATATATAATGTAAATATCGAAATGATAAAAAGGAGAGGCGAGATCTTGCCTCAGTGTTCATCGAATGATTCGACGCTAACGGCGCAGGTCAGATCTGAGCACAGGTAGAATTCGGCGACGAACTCGGGTCAGCATTGTAGGCGTATAAAACTGCCTATAGGTCCCTACGAACAGCTCAGTGCTAAGAAAAGATGATGAACGTCATAATCTAAGTCACAGGATCTTGATTAATGTCGACAAACACATGAAGTGGGTTGACGAACTATGTGAAGCAACGGAGTTTCAGAATAATGAGGATACAAACGGATCGGGAGCCCCGTGTCACTTACAAAAGACGAAATACCCTTCATGTCTCATTTATTCCACAGATGATCTAATCATTGGAGCTTATAGAACTCCTCATCGTCTTTCCAACACACTTTGAATCGCTTAAATCTGAGTTCGGATGAAAAAGTTATGGCGAAAATGGACAAGTGTGCAAAACAAAATGTCTCAGCCCGAGCCGAGACACCCAAAGGTGTCTCGGAACTTGTGGAGCTGTTTTGACCATGATCCCGTTTGAATTTGAAGAAACTCAAAACAAAAAAGTTGTAGATATTTTTGTCAACTTTCCAACCCATCTGGAATCAGGTCATTTGGAGGTCATATGAGGAAGTTATGCCTAAAAGGTATCTCAGAACTTGTGGAGCTGTTTTGACCATGATCCCGTTTGAATATGAAGAAACTCAAAACATGAAAGATGTAGATCTCTTTGTCAGATTTCCAATGCATCTTGGATCAGGTTATTTGGAGATCATACGAGAAAGTTATGTTCAAAATACCCGAGACACTCACAAGTGTCTCGGCCTGGCCGAGCCACCTGGCCGAGCCAGCTCGGATCTGGGCCCAGATCTGGGCCCAGATCCGCTTTCAATGCCTATAAATAGAGGGCTGTAGGCTCATTTTTGAGAGGTTGGATTTTTTGGAGGCGAAGCCCTGCTGGATTGAAGACTCAGATCTAAAAAAGATTCAAGCTATAGGACTTCGGGGACTTGCTCATCCAGATCTGGTACTCGGCGATCGTCAACGCCAAATAAGGCAAGAGTTCGAAAGGACCGGATCTCAGATCTACGCAGGCACACTCCGGATCAAAGCTTGGCCTTTGATCCCGAGATTTGGGCGATTGTTTCCTTGGTGCGAAATAGTACCCTCGGCTATTATTTCCTATTATTTCCTTCGTGAAATAATACCCGTCGTACTGCGTAGATCCTACCGGATCTAGATCTCACGGTGGTCCACGGATAAACCCCGGCTCAGGCGAAGAACCCACAAAGCGAGTGACCGCAAAACAGGAGCTCGTGATTTATTCGACAAACAAGGATAAAAAGTTGTAATCTTTCTTTTATTTTCTTTGATTTCCATTGTAACCGGATCTTATAAAAAGACCGGATCTTTGTAACTCAAAAAGTTGTTATTTAAGAGTGCAATGGAATCAATGAAGAAAGACACGATTTTTCCCGCGAACAAACTGGCGACCACAGTGGGAGCCGCCCATCTCGCTGCCGAGATCGGAGCGTCACAGCCGCGGATCTCAATCCCGGTCGTGGAGGAGGTCGAATACGAGTTCGACCAACAGAGGTTCGAGGAATACTTGTCGTCCTCATCCGGATCAACCTCCCCCCGCAAGTCCAAGAAGTCCAAGTTCTCCTCCAGGAGAAAAACTCGTTGGTATGA